TGTTTTATTTGCAAAAATAGTGAATTATTTCTAATTAATTTATCTTCAAAAATATTTTCACCAACAACTTATAAGCTCGAACTACGTGGACTTTGATCCCCATCACAAGGTACGTAGGCCTCGGATTCAGATTCTGAGTCAAGTCCTTCCTCGTAAATAAATAATATTTCTTACTTAATTCTTATCATTTTTATATCAAACATATGAATATAAAAGATAATTAAAATGATTTTAAAACCATATTAATATAGCACAACAACTTTAGGTAACCGTTCTCATGAATCGGGTGTTGTGGGGTGCCTAACACCTTCCCCATACTCAACCGACTCCTGAACCTATTTTTTGTTTTTGCAGACCATCCTTATCCTCCATTAAACGGTTTTTCCAAGATTTTCCTCAAAATTTTAGTGGTGACCCCTATTTTTTCGATCTTCTTTCCGAAGGCTGGAACCTCTGCTCTTGCGCCGTTTGCGTCACATTTTTAGCTACGAGAATTACTGTAGTGGGTGTTCAAGTTGATCCAAGCAAAATTGTAGCCATTAATAGCTAGCCAATTCCTAGATCTATTCAAGAGGTTCGAAGCTTCCATGAATTAGCTTCTTTCTACAAGAGGTTTATCCATAACTTTAGCTCTATTATTGCCCCACTTACAAATTTCACCAAAGGAGAGCAATTTCAGTGGATAGAGCAAGCTTAGAAAAGCTTTAGGGAGCTTAAGAAAAAGTTAACTGAAGCTCCCATGCATCTTAGCTCTTCCCAAATTTGACCAAGTGTTTGAAGTTAGTTGTGATGCTTCCAACACCAGCATTGGCATTGTCCTAAGCTATAAGGGCCATCCCATTGCCTTTTTCAATAAGAAGCTCAATGGTGCTTTCTACTTATGATAAAGAATTCTATGCCATTGTTCTCCAACATTGGAGTCACTATCTCTTGAATAAAGAGTTCATACTCTTTTCTTATCACGAAGCCCTCAAGTATTTGAATTCTCAGCAAAAGATCAACCACAAGCATGCCCATTAGAGTAAACTCTTACAGTCTTATCCATTCCTTATTAATAATAAGGCTGGAACTTTGAACTTCGTAGTTGATGCGTTTAGCCATCAACATGTGTTGCTCACAATAATACAAGCTAAAGTTGTTGGGTTTGAACTTGTCAAATAGTTGTACCAGGTTGATCCTGATTTTTGAGGAGTTTTTGAAGAAACTATAAATCAATCTTTCCACCCATTTTATAGACATAAAGGGTTTTTATTTAAGGAAAATCCTTATGCATTCCTCAGGGTTCCTTGAGAAAGGCCATAATTTGGGAAGCACATGACAGTGGCTTAGTCAGACATTTTAGATGGGATAAAACAATTGACCTAGTAAAGGAGAAATTTTATTGGCCTTGACTTGAATGGGATGTAAACAGGCATATACAACTGTGTAAAATTTGCCACTTGGCCAAGTCCAAAGGTTAAAATACCAAGTTATATATACCTTTACCAATTCCAGAAACACCTTAGGAAGATGTGAGCATGGATTTTGTTTTGGGTTTACCACGGACTCAGAGGTAAAATGATTTTTTCATGGTAGTCGTGGATTGATTCTTAAAAATGGCTCATTTTATTCCATGCCAGAAGACCAATGATATTGTGCAAGTAGTAGATTTGTACTTTAAAGAGATTGTTTGTCTCCATGGCATTCCCAAAACTATCACCTCTAATCATGATGTTAAGTTTCTAAGCCACTTTTGGCAGATATTATAGAAGAAGATGGGAACTAAGCTCTAATTTAGCAGTGTCTGTCATCCCTAGACAGACAATCAAACTGAAGCTATAAATAGGGTTCTTGACAATCTTGTTCAAAGTTTCGTGGAGAAGAATTTGAAGTAGTGAGACTTCATCCTTGCTCTAGTTGAATTTACCTATACTAACTCTGTCAACTAAGCAACTGGGAAGTGTCCATTTGAAGTTGTTTATGGCATTCATCCCGTTAGTCCACTAGACTTGACACCTTTAATTAACAAGCAACAATATAGTTCTGATGAAGATCAAAGGGTTAAGGAAATTAAGAAGTTGCATGAACAAGTTTGTGAATGAATATAGAAGAAGAACTTGAGATACAAAACTTAATAAGTATAAGAAATATCAAACTTTTAATGTGGGAGACTTGGTTTTGATACATTTGAGAAAGTAACATTTTCCTAAATAACCACACACCAAGTTGCCTCAAGAGTTGATGGTCCATTCAAGATTGAGCAAAAGATCAACAACAATGCTTATAAGGTGGAATTGCCTAGTTCTTATAAAGTGTTTGCCACCTTCAATGTTGCTTATCTATCTCCTTACATTGATGATGATGCCAAATTTAACTCGAGGTTGAGTTCCATGGAACCCGGGGAGGATGAAATAGAATGACGGCAGCAGTGAATGGAAGTGGAAACGCTCATCCATTCATGTCAGTTGTAGCATCACCATTAATGAAAATAAAAAAATGTTTGTAATCTGCCATTTGCCATTTATTTTCTAGCTATCAATTTAAGCATTAGAGTAGTATAAATAGGAGCCCTCATTTTCCTTGTAAGCATTGAAGATTGAAAGTAATAAACCAAAATTTGTTTCCCATTCCATTTCTGAGCCAATTTTATCAAACATCTTATGGACATTAATCATTAAACTAATACCAACCTTTCTTTTTTCAAATTTCATTTCCCAAATTTTTAAATATCCATATTTGAAATAATCTAGCTGTCCAAATTTTAGTCCTTCAACACAAGTAAATTTTAATACCCAAAGAAAAACAAATTCCCAATTCCATATTGTTTATAGCTAGTAGAAGAAAAAGGAAAAATCCACAAAATTGAACAATCTCAACCCAAATCACACGCACATAGCAAAAGGAAAGAGAGATTGAAGCTTCCCACCTTAGGTAGCCAATAACAAAAATTTAAGAACAATGCACAATTATATCAAAATAATGTATTGTTGCTTTAGTAAACTATATTGTCTTATTTTATCATAACTAAATATAATTCTTGTTAAACAATGTTCAATTTGTTTTGTAGGCATGAAGCAGATCTTATAACTAATATAGTTGAAGTGGTATGGATTTATTTATGTTCTAAGTCACCATCTTATGATCATAATCTAGTTGGAATTGATTCAAAAATTGGTGATATGATGCCATACTTGGAGATTGGGATGGATGATGTTCTTTTTGTTGGGATATGGGGTCTTGGTGGTGTTGGTAAAACAACTCTTGCAAGAGCTATTTTTGAAAAATTCTCTAAAAAGTTTGACATGCATTCCTTTATTAATAATGTGAAGGAAATTTCAAAAACAAGAGAAGGTCAAATTTCTTTGCAGAAAAAGCTTCTTTCTGACCTCAAAATAAAAAACTTGGAAATTTTTTATTTGAGTGATGGAAAGAAGAAAATATGTAGCCGAGCTCGCAATGTAAAGCTTCTTCTTGTCCTCGATGATGTCGATGATACGAGTCAGTTAGTGAATTTAGCTGAAAGTCCAATGTGGTTGGTAAAGGAAGTATAATAATTATAACAACAAGAAATCACCACGTGCTCACCTCCTCTAGAGTGCAAAGAATATATGAGATGAAATCGTGAAAGAAGATGAATCTCTTCAACTCTTTTCTAACAAAGCATTTGACAAAAATCATCCTAAAGATAATTATTTGGAGTTGTCGAAATTTGTAGTTGAATATACAAGGGGTCTTCCTTTAGCACTTGATGTTTTGGGTACTTTTCTTTATAGAAGAAGTATGGCTGAGTGGGTGGATGCTTTAGATAGATTGAAGCAAAATCCAGATGATAAAATTCTTCAAGTACTTGAAATAAGTTATGAAGGCTTAAATAAAGAAGAAAGGACAATATTTCTAGATATTGCTTATTTTTTAAGGGAATGGAGGAAAGATGCGGTAACCCAAATTTTGGAAAGTTGTGATATTCATCCAACAATCAGAATAAAAGTTTTGATTGAAAAAACTTGTTGAAATAGAAGATCATTTTGGAGGCTGCATTTTAGAGATGCATGATTTACTTCAACAATTGGGTAGGCATATTATTGATCGAGAATCTAACAATGTTCACGAGCGTAGCAGGTTGTGGTTGTCAGAGGACATCAAGCAAGTATTGAGAAGTAACAAAGTGACTGCCTTGTTTCTAAATCTCTAAATTTTGTTGGAATACATATAATTCTTTTTAAATGCTTTATTTCCTTATAATTTCATATTGTTTTCTTAGTAATTAACAAATATTTTTTATTAGGGATCACAAGCAATACAAGCTATTGTTGTGGATGGAACTCAAGATGAAGTTGAAGTACATAGAGAAGCGTTTTCATGTATAAGTAACTTTAGATTACTCATCATCCTAAGGGGACGGGATTTAGTTGGTAGTCCCAAATGCCTTCCTAGTTCATTAAAATTTCTTGAGTGGAAAGATTTTCCTTTTGTTGATCTTCCGCTTGAAACTCCTTTGGACAAATTTGTTGCTATTAAAATAAATTCTTACAAAATAAAGAGACTATGGAATGGAATACAGGTGAGATCGATTATTCATGCATTATTGTTTATCTTATGTGTGTGTTCATATCCACTACAACCAAAAAAAGTCTTTCGGAATGTTTACTTTTACCATTTTGGAGCATTTTCAAAACACTCCAAAAATAGGTGCTCGTGTATATATGGGAAAGCTTATGAAACACTCCCATATGGTAGCCCTACGAGAGCTTTTTTTTTTTTGGTTAACATCAATATCAATGTTTTGTCTTTATTAATAAATTGTTTATCTTTTGTGTGTGTTCATATCCATTACAACAAAAAAAGCCTTTCGGAATGTTTACTTTTACCATTTTGGAGCATTTTCAAAGCACTTTGAAAATAGGCACTCCTGTATATAGGGGAGAGCTTAAGAAATGCTCCCATAATATAGTGCTACGGGAGGTTTCTTGTTAACATCAATATCAATGTTTTGTCTTTATTAATATGGAAGATTGATTTTCAATATTGTTTTGTTTGATCAGTCTATGAAAATGTTGAAGCATATCAATCTATCCTATTCTTGGGATTTGACAGAAATTCCAGACTTCTCAGGAGTTCCAAATTTAGAATATTTAATACTTGTTGGGTGCTCAAACCTTGTAAGCGTTCATGCCTCGATTGGAAAGTTAAAAAAGCTTGTTCGTTTGAACTTGAGTGGTTGCAATCAGCTACAAAATCTGCCAGGAAAACTAAAATCAGAATCTTTGATGGAGTTGAATCTTAGTTGCTGCTTTCAAGTTAAAGAGCTCCCAAAGTTTGAGAAAGGAATGAAAGAGTTATCATTTCTTGATGCAAGCAGTACTTGTATAACAGAACTTCCTGAATCATTCGGATACCTTACTGGACTTCAAGAGTTAAATTTGAGTAACTGTGACTTTCGTAATGGATCAATCTTTGATCATTTTGGAAATTTATCATCACTAATTGTATTGGATTTAGGAGGGAATGCTTTTGTTAATTATTTACCAGATGGTTTCTTCTCTAGTCTTTTTCTGAATGGTTGTCGGCTCAAGTCACTGCCTAAACTCCCGCCACGGTTAATTCGATTGGAGGTAATGCGTCCTTATTATTTAAGGGACAATCAATCTTTAACAAATGATCAATTATGGAATTTGGTTGCATCACTTAACCATCAGGTATGTTTGTCTAACTACAATGCATTTATTGATTTGTGTATTTTTTCAACTACACACACATTAATGTAACATGACTATTCTTTTATTACAGTATCGTAGTCGAACTAGATATGCAAGTCCATTGCTCAATAACATTAAGGTAAGCCTATATCCTTAGTATTTTTTTTTTTAAAACATGCTCCCCTTATAGGTAATTACTGTTAATGATAGTTTTAATGTTTTGCAGCCAGAACATCTTCCTCAAAGAGATTTTTTTGCAATTTTTTCCGGATCTGACATACCATCATGGTTTCCAAATAAAGAGCATGCTGTGACTACGCCTGAACCTTTTCATGATCTGGTCAAAGAATTTATGTCATCCTTTTATGATGATCGTTCGCATGAATGTGTAATGAAGGTGGACATACCTCAACATTTTCATGCAAGTGAATGGTCGGGAATCGTTGTATGTCTCTGTGTATCAAAAGATATCTACCATAAGCTATCCGGGGTTGAATATGAAGGTAATGACACTTGTTGGATTTCGTGGAGCAGTAAAGCTCTTGAAGATGAAGATTATATTTACAAAGGGTGGGATCATTGTTTCCGAGTGATTGACTATCCTGACAAAAAAATATATGTTGATGATAATGGCTACGATGATGGTGCCGAAGTGACTAAATACCTCTGCGTAATGGTGTTGGAATTAAATGAGAAAACATGTTGGCAACATCTAACACCTCATAACAATTCAATTCACATTAGACTTAGACTTCATAGGCCAAACGTTAGTTGGGATTTCAAGATGTTGGGATGGGGATGGAGGGTATTATGTAAAGAAGACATAGAATAGTGGTGCAACTCCACTGGCCATGATTTCAACAAATTAACTGAAGCAGCAACAGAGGTTGACACTTCTCAGGTCTGCCTTCCTGACTCTGTCTTATCAAGAACAATAGAGGTACGTAGACATTGTGGAGCCAAGGCAAGACAAAAGGTGAATAATATATAGGTAATAATTACTCTCTTCTTCATCGATCGTCTCTTCTAGTACAATCCTTTTATTATGCTCTAACCTTCAAACATTCATTTAACGAGTTTTAATTTCATGTTGTTGGAAACATTCACAGGTGATGATCTGTAGAGCAAATACATCCATTGAAGATATATCAAGTAGTCAATGTTCCTTCTTTGAAGGCAATCAATGGTTTGTTATTGGGACAACTTAGATATACACTCATTTTCCTTCTCTTCCTCCACTCATTTTTCTGAATTTCAACGTGATTATTGAAGGGGCCAGGAAACTATATCAACTTTAAATGAGAAAAAAATATTAAAAATAAGTTTTTGACCGTTCTTTCTTTTTTAAAAAATTAAATCAATTTCATATTTACAACTCATGCACACAGGTTTCTCCTATCTTTTTCATCAATGATCTCCTCATCATTCAAAACATTCCTTTTTATTCTTAATTTGTTTTAAGTTTTCTTTCATATTGGAATGCAATAAGATGCCTCCCGTGCTTAAAAAATTAAAATCGGCCCTATATTATTTGCTTTCCTTTTGGCCATTATTTTCCAACCATGTACTAAAAGGACAAGGGTTCTTTTCTGAAGTACTCCTCTTCACCCTGCTAATTATCATGAAAAGGAATTTTACAAACTCGTTTTTCCATCGCGCAAATTACAAGCAAATTGAAGTTTTTGAGAGTAACAAGCTTCATTCAATTGACAAAAATAATTCACTACATAAATTGAGTTTAATTTACACTAAAAAAAATCCTCTAAACATTCGCTATTATAAATAACTCATATCCATCTTTATCAAAGAATATAATACATGCGTGTCTATTTTTCTTGATGGGATTTCAAGACTTTTGCGGAAACACAAGTTTTTGTTTTTAGGACACGTCTTTAAATTATTTTATTAAATCATCAAATCAGAGAGACTGATTCTCAGAACGCTAGTCTTCTCGCAAATATGAACCCACAAATGCATAATTTAATAATGAATAAAATTTACGCATAAAACACAATGAATTAAATGGAATTTTATTTCCCAGTGCATCATCCTATATTATGGAAATTACTTGCTGAAATTACAGTCACTACCAAAAAGAAAGATTCCTGAGGGTGACTTCCTATGGCGACTTTAAAAGGTCAAAACTAAAAGTAAACAATTTTGCAACAACTATAAAAGTTGCCACCAAAGTTCTGACCTCTTATGGTGATAGTTGAAGTCAGCATTGGTTATCACACTTTTAACAACAACCTTTGCAAGACGTTGCTAAAAGTCTATGTTTCAATGATGATATAAATTTATCATTAAAAGTTTGACTTTTAAAACAATCACCTTCAAAAAATTGACAATTAATAGTAAATAATATTTAACATTTTAAGATATTAATTTTATTATATTACTATAATTTTTTAAAGAATAAATAAAACAAGGTAATGAGTTTTCATTTTATATATTTTACGGTTAAATTGATATTTTAAAATAATAAAATTATTTTAAGATAATGTTAAGGTATTATTTAATGCTAATGAGTCAAATTAAATAATTAAGCCCAATCATATTATTTCAAGTTGATTTTGATTATCAAGCAATGTTACAATAATTATATTGCAGTAATGAGTATCTATTTTTCATATATTTTATTATTAAACTGATATTTTAAATAATAACACTACTTGCTTATAATAATTAGACATGTGATAGTTAAATGTATTCATCATAGAATGATATTTCAGCTAATCTGATTTTTCAATTATATATTTAATACTAGTAACTTTAGTCCTCATGATTAAACTTTGAAGCTTGATACTGGTTTAGAGATTCCCAATTCTATTACTGATGATAGGGAAGAGGAAGATGGGAAGAGAAATGGGGCGATCTAAGTCCATTTTAATTTTAGAATATATAAAATATATCTATGTGATGCTATATGATTTTGCTTGATACTTTCTTGAGAAAAAATTAGATAAAATAGTATATAATTTTCTTATAAAATTATCATTCAAAAATAAAAATAATTAAAAAAGTGAAATGTAATGTAAAAACAAGTCAATGACTTTATTTAAGAGTTATTGTTAATTGAAAATAAAAATAAAATTTTAATTAAAACTAGCTAGAAAAAATATAATTATGATCTAATGTATAATCATCTTCGTTTTTATTGTTTATTCTTAGATACTTTTTATATATTATAATTATAAATGTGAATATTAAAATAAATAATACAATAGCATATCAAAAAATAAATAATACAATAACCTCAAGAAATACAAAAAAAATAAATAAATAATATAATGATATTGTATAAATTATATTTATATTTTATTATACAAAATAAATATTATAATTCAAAATTTTGTTAAATTGGAAAATTAAATTAAATTATTTAATGATTGTAATAATCATGTTCAGAGGCAATTATCTTGTAGCGGCAACAATCAATCCCTTGATGCAGATACATTTGTCCTTGTTAATTATATACTTTTAGCGGTAGATATAGAATCAACAATAGAAGCTCTCATGGTGATATTGCGGCAACTTTTTATCACTGTCTAAAAATTTCAACAGCAACTCTGATGCATTGAATCCATGTTTTTGCTTTGATATCATACAATTTTAATACTATTAATAACTTTGATGCACTACAACTAATGTATAGTGACATCTTCGCATCACTTTTCAACTTCTCAAATATTTGTAAACAATCCTTAAAGTCTTGTTCAATTGCTTTGGCCATGTGTTGAAGACAATGTTCCTCAAGTGTACATGTGTCAAGATAATTTAGAGATTATACATAGCTTTCACTATGCTCTCGACTACAACCAATATCATTCCTTGTCTTATTATGCATTGTCCAATACTTATAACTTTGATTTATCTTATTAATTACTACTTCACAAGTATCTAGACTAATCTGTTTCATAAGGCAGCTAGCACACTAAAAATGGGAAATAATTATAGTAGGGTCATCTGCATGTTTAACTGCAAACTTAATAAAATCCATCACACCATCTCAATATTCCTCATATAAAAGATTGCTAGACATTCATTCCTTATTTATAATTCCAATTTACTATAAAAGATTAAGAGAGAAATATGATTAATATCTCACAGAGATTGGGAGAGTTAAGAGGAAGATAGGGAATTAATTAATGAGTTACTAGTCACATGCATATATAGATGCACATATTTTCCTTCTTTAATCTCGTTGAATGCTTTCCATTGAAAAAAAAATTGGATAGCATAATGACTTAAAAAAAAGTGTTTCTCAAGCCTTATACCCTCTCTTTATGCTAAATTTTATTCCTACAAATCTAATCTAACTTAATTTATACAAAATTAAGCACAGCAACAAGAAAAACATTTTCACTACAACCATAACAACTCCACCACCAAGCCGTTACATACATACTTAATTCATCTCTGATGAAGCATAACAACAATAGATTTATCATAGCAGCAACTAGAGAAAGTTAATTTAAACAACAATAAATTTGAAAAAAAAATTTGGCATACGACTTGAAAATGAATGTTTCTCGGGCCTTATGCCTTCTCTTCGCACTACGTATTATTATTATACATTCTAATCTGAATCAATTTAAACAAAAATCATGAAAAAGAACAAGGTACAACACCAACAATGTGTTGTGTGTGTGTGTATTTATGAAGGAAGAGGGGGAGGGAATGAATGGAAGAGCATTGTAGATATTCATATTAACTTAGAAAATCAAATTTTAAAGCAACTAAAAGCACACAAATTCAGCCAAGCAACAAAAACCCATAGACTCATGCTAACTCAGCCCACAAACATTACAAAAAATATGACTTTTAGCGACAACTTTTAGCGGCGACTAAAAAAGTCGCCGCCAAAAGTTCACTTTTGGCAGCGACAAATCAAAGTCATCGCCAAAAGTGGACTTTTGGAGGCGACAATTTGCCGCCACTAAAAGTTGCCACCAAAATTATATTTTTAGTGGCGACAAATCAAACTCGCCGCCAAAAGTCACTTTTAGCGGCGACTATGATTCGTTGCCGCTAAAAGTTCACTTTTGGCGGCGACATTTTGTTGCCCCCAAAAATATTTTTATAAAAAATAAATTAAAAATTAAAAATAAGTAACATAATTTACTTTTGGCGGCGACATTTTGTCGCCACCAAAAGTATTTTTATAAAAAATAAATTAAAAATTAAAAATAAGTAATATAATTTACCTACCAAAAGCATTTTTATAAAAAATAATTAATATAATTTACTTTTGACGGCAACAAACTGTCGCCACCAAAAGTATTTTTATAAAAAATAAATTAAAAATTAAAAATAATTAGTATAATTTACTTTTGGCGCGAGAAACTGTCGCCACCAAAAGTATTTATAAAAAATAAATTAAAAATTAAAAATAATTAATATAATTTACTGCCAAAAGTATTTTTATAAAAAATAAATTAAAAATTAAAAATAAGTAATATAATTTACTTTTGGCGGCGACATTTGTAACCACCAAAAATATTTTTATAAAAAATAATTTAAAAATTAAAAAATAATTAAATAAAATTATTTAAAATATATTTATGAAATTAAATTTCTTATTTTATGTATAGAATTAGAAATAAATTATATATAGGAACGTGAAATAAAAAAATAATAGTTAAAGTGTGCTAAGTTTAATTATTAAATTTTTTTAATTTTATATTATTCATAATCATTTTTTAGACATATATAGCTCATATTTTTTTTAAGAATTATGTTATTAAGCTAGTATTTTAATATGATAAATTTAAATCTTAATGGGTTATTACTTCAATTATAATTAGGTTAAGTTATACATAAATTATTACTTACAATCAAATACATAAATGGCATTAGGAAGTTAAAGTTGTACAAACATCGTGAGATGCTAATGATATTATAGACTACTTAACATATTGCGCACTTTATACTTAGCTTGATATATATATGGTATTTACTTCTTCTACTGAGCTCTAATGACTTTTGGACAAGGATTTCATGTAATTCCTCCTAGTATATTTAGGTTTTCATTGCTATAATAACATTTTATAACTAATTATTACTAAGAATAATATGAATAACTACTCAAATCCACCTTTTTATAAGATTGAAGATGATTAGATGTTAACTAGATTGATCACACAGAGATTCTTGTAATTATCATATATTGCAAAAGTTATTAGTATTCATTTTCAAAATTATTCAAAATGACTATTAACAAAATTTATGTGGTTAAAATTAATTTTTTATTAAAATAATTTTTTA